TTGGAATTTCTCGTTCACTATGCTATGAAAATACTCTCTCGCAGACTATCATAAAACACATTAGAAGGGTTCGCAGCTCTTCACCTAGTTCTGGTAGGGCGCTTTATTAATAGCATAAGTTTATCGATCATAAGTAAATCTTACTAAAATCACATAATCCAATTAGATTCAATTAGTTATTTGACTTCTGGGCTCTTTGATGTTCAATAACAACAAATGTCGATTTTACTTTTAATTATTTATGAAAATTAATGCATATTAGAACAAAAAAAAATTTATAAAATTAATATTTAATTAACAATTGAATGACATTGACATCAAAACGAGAAGCACTTAGAAGTATATTTTTTAAGCAAAATTGCTTGATTATCCCAAAGGGGACCGGACTTCATTATCATTGCTCCTTACTGTTATTGTTGGTATTGGTAGTGTATTTCGTATTGTTCGTTTCATAACGTAACATAAGAACTTGAAAAAACGCCTCCCTTACTTTGCTTGTCTCTCCTTTTATGTCGAATTGACTAAAAAATGGCTGGGGCGTATAATGGCTTTGGCTCTAAAATCTATCTGAACCTAAATTTTTGTTTTTGTTAATGTGACCAATAACTCAGGAGAGACTTCCTCCATACATACAGTGGTGGTCATAGAGAGAGGATATATAGAGAGAGGGGGAGAAGAAAGGCATCTATCTATTGTGCATTAACCATTAAGAAGAAGACGTTCTACGTTATTATCGAATCACATATTTGGAACTATAATCTTTCAGGTAAGAATGAACAGAAGAACAGGCTTGTAAAAGATGAAAAATTGACGAGCGCACGAACGAATAGAGGGATAAACTGTCAAGCAGATAAACAAACAATATGAAGCAGGAGTAAATTGAGAGGCGGACTCGGCACACGAGTTTTATCGCAATACGCAAAAGGTGAAAGGTCAGAAAGTGAAAGATAGATAAACGAATAAATAAGGAACATCTAAAGGGAAAAATGAGATCAAGGCTTGTCATCCTAAACACAGTTTAAATAATAAAAAATACAAGCGCTTCTCTATACTGGGTTATCAAGAGCGTTCGCAAGCTGAATGAAAAGTATGTGTGCAGGTTTCATCGAACAACGTCTAAGCCTAACGTCAAACACCTAAGCTGAAAAACTTATTTCGAAAGGTTAAATTCCGAAAAAGGCTCTACTGGCATTAAAGTGATAACCTACATGTAACGTTATAAAGTCTAACAGAGCTTTACTTGGCTTTGCCAAATCATCGCGTTTTAGTGGCAACATCAATGGATGGCCTTTGGATTTTGATTATAGAGAAAAAGTTCTTGATCAATCAATCGATTTTAGACGAATAGCGCGTCAAATTGAACACCTTGTCGGACAACCTACTGATTATTGGTTTGGGCATACTACGAAGCAGACTAGACCCAAATCACTCTTTCCAAATCCTTGCAACCTAGTTACCTGTCCAAAAACACAAATTAGTGCCTCAAAAATATGCAACCGGGATTTCGAAAATGTAGAAGATTCACTTGACCGCTGTAATATCGAACAAGGGACTCTACTATCAGTTTTTGTATGAAAAAGGTTCGAAAAAGCAAAACTATGCACACATTTTTCTTTTTCGCTTCTATACTTTACGAGTTCTTCGATATGCTTACACTTTGTGGAATCTAAATATGGTACGCATCGCCCTCCACTTTCCTCTCCTTTAATACACCGATAAACAGTAGCCCAACGTACTCTTCTCCTTCATTCAATTTATCAATTTTGTTTGACTTTCTTAGTTAACAGGACCAGATTTTTCCTGCTTCCGCTTAAGGTTAGCATGGGTTCAAATAGTAAGCATATAATATGACTGGAGGCTGCACTGCTAAGCATTGATTGGTATTAGTGACAGTGACTATTTGTGCTTCACGCCATATTACTCACCATAGTATGTTAGTTAAACGCAAGAATATGGAAGTCTTTAGGAAATAAAAATTCATGCTTCCATAAAGCACTAAACATAGAGACGTTAAGTATCGCAGTGTATCACTGTCGTCTCAATACTTTTTAAGCAATTCCGCGGCTATAGGGAAAAAATTCCCAACAGCTATGCGCTTTTTTTAACGAGAGAACAAAAAATCTCCTCCATTTAAAAATAATTGATTGCTTTAATTCACAATCGCACGAATAAATTAATTGTAGTTATTCAAGCGTAATGGCTGTGAAACCAAATATGTAACAATACGTTAGCTTTCGTATTTAATCATCATTGACTATTCGATAAAAAGCTCTCTTGGACGATTCGATTTACGTATAACGTGATACATTTGCATTATTTTTTGTTTTTTTATTTTTTTATTTTCTTTTATTTTCTTTTATTTGCTTTTATTTTTTTATTTTTTTTTTGTATTTTTGTTTTCAATTTGCTTTAATGCAATCTGTCTTCAATAGTAAAATGACATTAAGCTTAATTTTTCAAAAGCTATCATGAAATAGTATTAGTGATGATCCATTGTTCACTTTGAATTTTCAAATATCTCGTAATAACATTAAATCTTGTTATATTTTTAAGGCATCTGACGGGAATATACTTTCGATTTGTAAAAAACGTTTGTCATGCTTGGCATTGCCTCAGTTATGAGTTAATGCTTCCCTTTCTAAAATGAAAAGTAAATTTTGATTTCATTTTAGACAAATGGCTTTGTTTACGATGAACATCAGCACTAGGAGCAAATAGAGGATAATCTTAATTTTATATACTATGCATATTTATTAATATGTCCGCTGGGGATGGGCAACATAATATGAACACTATTGTTGCATGTTGGCAACGCCGCTTTCGTGTAAATAATGCGACGTGCACGTATTGCGCAATCTACCTGCCAATGGATTAATTGCTTCCTTCAGCGACGGTTCAAACAAGTATGATGTACCATTGGAGCTCAGTTAGCGGGAGAGTCGGCTACGCGGGCACAAACATCACCGGCGAGACACAAACACCAACAAACACCGTCTGTAGCCAGAGAGCATGAAACGATCGCGGCAATCATAAATCCAGAACTCAATACTCCTCTGAGTTATACTGCTTTGACAAAAGCCATATGATGCTAGTTTCATCAAACGAACATTCATGGAAGGGCTGCAATTACGAAAACTCTTGGAGCAGAACCCTGTCTTAAGTTCCCAAAGAAACGGTCTCACGATCATAAAATCGAGATACTTGATGATTGGACGAATGCGGCATGATCCGATAAATCATCGTTCGTATTTTTTCTTACAAACACCGGGCTGCCTCCTTACTACAGTCAATTACGGGAGAGGCCCCGTTATGATTCGCGCGGCAATATCGCAATATTCAGCAGCTTGGTCAGATTACTAACCGAATTACTGTGAATGAACATCTCGACGAAGTTTTTGCCATGATTAGTATATTGTTGCCAGCCACTGCCATATTCCAAAATAATCCGTCACTACAGACCTCCAAAGAGGTTCTGTCTTGAGTTGGAGAGCATCAGAATATCAAAAAACATATTCACAAACCAGCACAGCCAGCACGCAAGTGTTTGTAGCCATGTAATTAAGATGTGAACATACATACATACACATTTGATATCTCAATTGCTGTATTTGAAGGAACTTGGAAATAAGAAGAAGAAAAATCGCAAATGAATCGTGGTATATACTCTACTACGTCTTACATAGGATCACTTCCAGCATTTTCCAGCATAGTTCATCACTATAAATACATATTGACATTCAAATAAGCTGATTCAGCCTCAAATCCTGTGAATCCATCAGATTTCTTATTTGCATCGGCGCCATAATATGCCTCATCCGTATATATTCCACATCAAAGTAAAATTCTGAATCTATTCCTATTCTGTCCATCCATCCAGACTTTAGTCTGCGGTATTCAGGAAGTGACTGCAAAACAATCGACATAATAGAAGGCATATTAAGGGTACCCTACAAAAAAGATCTAAGAGGACTCGAACCATTCTGAGCATTGCACACCTCCGCGCAAACCTACCACAAGATATGCGGAGGTATAATGAGAATAATCTGCCTGCAATGAAGCCCCAAGACAGAAATGCTGCAACGTACAGTTTAGAGACCGTATATATAACGAAAAAACCCATTGCCAGTATAACCCATGCTTAGGGTAATTGGCCAACTGAACACGTACTTCATAAAATATTTGGCATTTATAATGTATTGCTTCAAGTCGTTGCATATCAAATATTCAGCCGCGTATAACTTCCTTACTTCTCATGCTTTGGCCTTAGACCTTGGCTATTAAAGAGAATACAAGTTTCTTCCGTCTTCTTTCTTTCCGTCTACTTACTTTACTTTCTCTCGAAGAAAGCCGTATCACAGTTTCCTGATAGTATATTATATTATTTTGTTCTTATGTCTTTATTGGTTTACTTTTAATGGCTAATCAACGAGTAACAATAAACAAAAAAAAAAAAAAACACTTTTCCCTCAAAACACACAACAACAAAATAAAAAACGAAAATCATATAACAGAGCCGCTGAGGCACGTGTACCACTTGCAAGAATACAATGCAAGAAAACAAAAGAAAAGTTTCAAATAAATTGACAAGTCTTCATGAGAGAAGACTACAAGCTAAACATAGTATTGCACTGCATAATACACAGATGAATGTACATCCGTGCCTTATTTTACACGACGAACGAAACGTAAACAAAAAACCGGTTAAAACAATGAGTTGAATCGAGCAAGAAGCCGTAAATAAAATTCCGCACATTCATCACAACTGTGGAAAATTGAATAAGGGATGCGTGAGATTAATGCAAACTGAAACGAATTCATTAACCTTCCGAGATGTTTTATTGCTCCCACAGCAACAACGCTCTTTGCAAATCAAAGCATTTTGGGAATTTTTCCTCTCAAAGATGGGCACAGAAGATATCGCCAGCACATCGTTTTTGCAAACGCAATGCAAGACTTATGCTCACTTTGTCATCAGTGTTAAGTCCTAAGGCTGGATTACACTTTGCTGATTACACTTTCATCCCTGACTTCCGCAATAGAGAATCTAGCTGAAGGGAATATTTGTCAAAGTTTTGTGGCTTAAATAATAGTTCATGCGTCGGGGTGGCTGAAAATATTGGACCAGGTCTGCAGAAGGGTTGCGCTCAAAGTCATCGAAACTCTTAAGCTGCTATCTTCAAAGAAATTGCTCCACAGAGATGCAAGAGACCCCACCAAGCGACTCTTTTAATAGATTTCGTCCGGATTTCTTAACATTACCACGCACTTGTCCTAGAATTGTCCGTACATCGTGTGACAGTACCTTTTCTCCGTTTCAGATGGTCTCCAATCGTTTCAGGTCGAACGCTGCTTCGCCTTTACTCTGCTTCTCTACAATTAAAACAAAAAGAAAAAAAAACGAAGTAAATATCAATAAAAGTTGAATACTCGAAAATAGTCTTAGGAATCGTAGAGCATCGTTTCAGAAAACGAATACAAGTTTCAAAGATTGAGCACAAGTTTATAAGATGAGTTTGTAGACAAAACATAACTAACGCTAGGCTAAGCAAATGGTGAAGCACCACATTGGTTAGGGATCCGCTTCATTTTTTCTCAGTTGTTTCATGTCGCAAACATTGTGCGAAGAATATATAGAATTTGATCAAATCCTAGCATTGTCATATAAGATATGAATAAATTGTTGTTGCTTTTTTAAAGAAATTCGCATACTTTTTACACAAAATATAATCCAAACAAATAAATCCCAAAATGACGGCAATTTAAGCAAGTAACAAAAATCGTATTTACTTTTCGGAATGCCATGAAGTCAAGTCCAAAACCCGTAAAAGGATTGAACATTGCGTTCCTTCAGTTCAAAGTCCTGATATCATCTTTTGAATCTAAGCAAAAGTCAAGCTGTTGACGCGTTGATTTTTGTAAGCCTCTGTAGCGGCTTTTGGGGATCGAATTACATTGCATCAACATCTTCTCTGTCCAAAATATAGATCACAGGAAGGGATATTTTAATTATATTTCCTAGGAGGAGATCAGTGGATACTAGCTAAAGGCGGATGGGTGTATTTAACAAAACGGTGAAAGGATTGAAAGAAAAAGCTTCATACAGGTAGGTATATAATTGTCAGTCTTGTTTGGAAAATTGCTCCTCTTCTTCTTTCCTTCCTTGGCTGCAGATAAAATATCCAATACCCAAGTCACTAACACAAAATTTCTTATCATCTTCGATAGACTTTACTTCAATGCTCCATGAGCTTTATTAATGAATAATTAATAATTCGTTAATCATAGTTAATCATAGTTGAATGGACAGAGAAATTTCCTTTCTCCGCTCAACAATGCTGCAAAAAGAAAAGTATGACGGAAATTGAGGTACGAGTGTATTTGCGGTGAACAATAGCGTAATAAAAAAGAACATTTGTTTATGTGAACGTAATTGAAGAAACTAACAAAGTAGTTAAAAGTGACAGCATATTCCAAAGAACGTTAAAATGTAGAGAAAAAGAAAGAGCGGAGTAAGAAACGTAACACAATCGCAAAAGTTAAAAGAACGTGAAGTAAATATACGCGATACGACGATAAGCAGGATTATGAAATGCACAAATCGCATGCGTTAGGGTATTCGGCTAAAAGATGCAATGAAAGCAAGCAATAGTAGCTGCTCAGTGAAAACAAAAGCACAATCATGTTACAAAAGGTAATCGAGAGACAAACGAAACTGTTCACGTAACAAGGAAGCAATTACAAGCGACTTAGTTTGGCATCCATCGCAGACATTTTAACTGAGTGTACGTCTTACAAATTGTTGAACATGTATGGAGTCTTTCGAAAAGAATTGCCTACCATCGCAGGGAGAGGATTTATTTATTTGGTCAAGAACTTGCAACATCCAAGTCTCAGAGGAAGTTTCATAAACTCTATCAGTAATAAGATCTGAGTCGATCCAAGCATCTTCATCTGTCAAGTCTACGGTAAAGAGTCACCTGAAGACACCGACGTCGAATCGTTGCAAGTTCTTGCACACAGGTACTCGTCACTTAAAAACTCCAGCTAATAGTAAAAGCTAATGATAAGAATTTCGACGTATATCCTATGGCTCATCCTATAGTATCTGGAAAAAACAGCCAGGTCCACTGCAGCATATTTTCAATGTAAATTAAAAACCACAAATGGAATTTTATTAGATAGGGAGATATGCAAGCAGGCATTTGATTGGTGGTAGATAGCTCAACAGGATCTTTAAAATTCATCCTCATGGCTTCATATTAACACTATTTTAATTTGCATGCATTTATTTATTTATGGATTTACTTACACATGATACTCAACTAAAATGAATTAACGATGGAATTCAATTGACTCTTAGAAGTAAAGCTTGTAATAATTATTATTAAAAACTAGTATATGAGGAGATGTAAAGAAAAGGAAAAGAAATAACACATAAACAATTATATAATAATTCATGTATGAATAAATAGGAAAGAAAAAGAAAGAAAAAAAGCATGTACATAGTTAGCACAGAGGCGCACTCACAACCGATATAGATCCAAGTGGCAAGTGAACCTCTAAACCATTGCAAACATACAAAAGCTTAGGAGTCGACAGCGGTAAACAACAACAGTTAATTTTCGTATCATAGTTAGATGTTAAGATGGCAAGTTAGCTTCAGCACGACATAGGCAAAACGTACATATTAAGCATAGATGTTTTGATTGACTTTAAAGAGTGCGATAGTGAGATTAGGCGATAGAGATTATTTAGCTTTTTGCAAACATCTCTCAACGGGTTAAACAGCAGATGATTGCATTTAAATTGACTCTGCTTAACGAACTCTGCTTAAGTGCCTAGAGTAGCGGTTAAGGACATTAAAGTAATGTGGGCGAATCGATAATGCCATTTGTTAACTTAATTAAGATGGAAACATCAAGAATAAAACTACGTTTCTCAAGCGACCATAAGGATAACAGAAACAAATCACTTCAAGCGGGTCTCTTTCCAAATTCTCAAGGATCAACAGCAAGAATTGCTTTTGAACGGATTGTATTGAATCTACACAACACTTATAGGAAGGAGACCACGCAACAGAGGCATACGCAAGTATTGGTCTAACTGAGCACAAGTACAGCCTTTTCCTAATGTAAGTATCCTTCAGCTCTTTGGACTACCTCTGAATGAAACATAGCGCGGACCTAGCTTTAGTTAAAGAGAGCTCAATATTAAGACGTAATCTTCCTATATCGATGGATGGACCAACGTCTTCCAACTTATGTGAATCCATTAAAGACTCAATTTTGAATAACTATCTCCTTGAGAAAGAAAGCTTCTTGCGTTCCTTTTGGATTTAATTTCATAAAGTCTAACGAGCACCATATAGGCAAACTATTCAAATCAATTTTCAGCTGACACGATAGCGATTCCAAGAAGAAGCAAGAAAACAGTTTAACATCGTCTGTGTACATTAAGCTCTGGCTGGATTCAACTGTCGAGGGGAGATCATTAACGTATAAATTAAATAGTACGGGTCCTAATTAACAAAAAACTTTCATAAATGAAAAGTTTTCACTTGAATGTCCCACTTCTATATCGTATTCCTAGCCATCCCCTAACATCCTCTTCTGGAATTGGAATCTTGTTAATGACTTACAGAAAGATTATAAAGAAATTTCTTGATTAAAACCATTAAAATAACGTGAAGTGTTTATAACAAAATGTTTGTTGTTAATAGATAATTAATATAACAAAATTTCAGTTTAATTTTCCCTTTTTTTTTAAAAACAAGTGATTTAGTAAAAAAATTTAAATAATGTAATAATAAAAAAGTCTTACACATCAACCCTTCGGCGAAAGCGGTTGCTGCGGCAATAAATTGACTTATAATAGCATGAGATTTTTACAACACTCTGCCTACACGAAATCCCAGCGAAAGAAGACGAAAAGGAAGAAGATTTTTACGACACTTGAAACAAACACTATAAACTCTGTCCATAAATGCCAAGTTAATAGAGAGAGAGAGAGAGAGAGAGAGAAAGAGAGAGAGAGAGAGAGATAGAAAGTCAGTACATGCGTTTACGCTGTTAACACTGCTCAGGAATATATCCATGACAAGATTTTGCTTGTATTGATTATCCACGAAATTCATGGCCATAATAATGCTTAAAATTAAAATTTCTAAGCGACATAAATTTTTTACTTAAGTATAGGCATCTCGGCGTTTACTTATTTGTCATTTGGCATTTTATTTCTTGTGTTGTTTTTGTATTTTTCAAAATATCCTACATTTGTCTTAAAATCCCCGAATTACGAGCATCTTACGCTATAAGCGGTCATGCATATCAAAGCCCATTACCCTCTACTTCGATTCACAGGACTCTCTGAAGAAAAAGTATTTCGTCGTAAGTCGCGCGATATTTGTATATAATTTTCAAAGTCGCAACACGCAACAACAACAAATAACAAATATTAATAGAGTAGATGTGTGATTTCATTAATAATTTTTTCAAAAAATACTTTCTTCAGTTTGTCACTACCCGCATAGGATATATTATGGATTGCATATGACTCCGTAAACCGTGAAAACTGTAATGTTTATAAAGACAACTCTACGCTCCAAGGTATGTCACTTGAATTAAACTCCATTTGTTACATATGTATGCAAATGCATCTATATATAATGTATTGGAGCTACCGACGCTTTAAATACTTATTTCTTTCTACCAAAGCATTCAGCTTAATCACTTAACTCACTTTTGAAATTTCAAATTTCGCGCGTAAATTCCTCAATTGATTGCGAAGACAGAGTTACAAAGTAAATGTGATTCGTCGACAAACACACTCGCACGGTCAGAAGCCGGAACAACCTTAGAAAGAGATACGCAGTTGTTCTCTGTTTATTATAAGATCACCTATTAGTTAGACATCCGTCAGAATAGACTATAGCTCCGATCGGTTATTGCTCCTTAACCCTATTTTAATAATCGCTTGTGAAATCGTACAAAGTTTCAATTCCCTATCTTAGCTTTTAGAGCAATGGCAACTTTACAAAAGAAATAAATAAAATTAATCCACTTTAGTAGCGGTAGGCAGAGGTCGTCGGTAAAACAAGCCAAACAGATACAAAAAAAAAAGATCGAGTCGAGCACTTCGATATCAAAAGTCTTCGTATTTAAATAAAAATCATCAAGTGAAGGATTCCTAAAATATTGCACACTGTTACACTCGATGAGACTTGTGTTAGCACTTAACAAGAGCCAATGGAATCATATAGAGAAAGATTTGCCTCTCTGGTGACTACGACAAACGTATCCTTAATAAATTTATCTCACTCTTTGCAAATGTAATAAAATCATGATAAAATTCTGCGTAAGATATTAATGTTT